CCTGAAGCACCACTTTCGCTAATGGGGCCTCCCACTGCTGCCGTGCCGCCAGAGCACAATTTCTGTTCTCATCCTGAAGCAAAATTCTTAACCCGAGGTATTATGGAAGTGAGAGCTGGACCATAAAGAAGGCTGATCGCCGAAGAATTGATGCTTTTGAATTATGGTGTTGGAGGAGACTCTTGAGAGTCCCATGGACTGCAAGAAGATCAAACCTCTCCATTCTGAAGGAAATCAGCCCTGAGTGCTCACTGGAAGTACAGATCCTGAAGCTGAGACTCCAATACTTTGGCCACCTCATGAGAAGAGAAGACTCCCTGGAAAGACCCTGATGTTGGGAAAGATGGAGGGCACAAGGAAAAGGGGACGACAGAGGATGAGATGGTTGGACAGTGTTCTCAAAGCTACAAACATGAGTATGACCAAACTGCGGGAGGCAGTGGAAGACAGGAGTGCCTGGCGTGCTCTGGTCCATGGGGTCACGAAGAGTCGGACACGACTAAACGACTAAACAACAACAACTATTTCTGGTTAGCGCAGTCTGTAACCTGAAGCGTATGTAACCTGAAGCGTATGTAACCTGAAGCGTATGTAACCTGAAGTGTATGTAACCCGAAGTACCACTGTACTGAGCTTGATCATGGACCAATGTGGTGGTATAAGGGGCATCTTCCTAGGTAAGGTAAAGGTAAAGGTACCCCTGCCTGTACGGGCCAGTCTTGACAGACTCTGGGGTTGTGCGCCCATCTCACTCTATAGGCGGGGGCCAGTGCTGTCCGGAGACACTTCCGGGTCACGTGGCCAGCGTGACATCGCTGCTCTGGCAAGCCAGCGCAGCACACGGAACGCCGTTTACCTTCCCGCCAGTAAGCGGTCCCTATTTATCTACTTGCACCCGGAGGTGCTTTCGAACTGCTAGGTTGGCAGGCGCTGGGACCGAACGATGGGAGCGCACCCCGCCATGGGGATTCAAACCGCCGACCATTGCGATCGGCAAGTCCTAGGCGCTGAGGTTTTACCCACAGCGCCACCCGCGTCCTAGTTAGCACCCTCAAATTCCCATGCCTTCGTATCCAGCAGATGGCAATCAAGAGCCAACCATGGACTAGGCAGGGAGGTAGCTCACAAACAGTTAAGCCAACAGGGTGCAGTGAGGTCATCTTATGCTGAGCTGGCAGTGGCCAAAAAAGTCCATTTCCTGAGCGCTTTCCCCCTGGCCCAATAGTGCTGCCCCGTTTGCCCTCTTCTCGTTCCCCTCCCACTTCCCACACTTGAGCTGGGCAGCAGCAGTGACCAAACTGCTGGAAATTGCTTTGTGGCCACTGCTAATGGGCTCCCAAATGCAGGGAAAGGAAACCACAGGGCAGGGAGGAAGGGAAGGCTGCAGCGTCAGGGGAGCGATAGGGCTGCTTCCTTTGCAAAGCTGCATGCAACTTGCAGCTCCTTTCTACTTTCTTGCCCTCACTCGCGAATCTGCAAAATCCAACTGTTTGCATGGATAGGGTCCCTGAATATCCCTTTGTTTGGAGGCAGTGGGGGGGGCTGGATCTGTCCCCCAAGATGAGTGAACAGGGGCCGCCCCCTGTCAATCACCTGATGTTACAATGAGGACCACCTGACAGTCAAGGCTGGCAAAGTGTTGTGCCCAAACCGCCTTTGGCCCACCCTTATCTTTCACCGCCCCATATCAGGTGTAGAGCAAGTGAGCACAACTTGGGCAAAATAGCTTCATGGGGTGGACATTCACCACCAGTGGGGGTATTGAGTGATAATTCTCATTGTCAGGAATGGTTCCTTTCCTCACTGTTGTTCCTGTATGCCTGAAGGAGCGTCTCCACCCCCATCGTTCAGCCCGGACGCTGAGGTCCAGCTCCAAGGGCCTTCTGGCGGTTCCCTCACTGCGAGAAGCAAAGCTACAGGGAACTAGACAGAGGGCCTTCTTGGTAGTGGCGCCCACCCTGTGGAACACCCTCCCTTCAGATGTGAAGGAAATAAGTAGCTATCCTATTTTTAAAAGACATCTGAAGGCAGCCCTGTTTAGGGAAGTTTTTAATATTTAACGCTGTATTGTTTTTAATACTTGATTGGGAGCCGCCGCCCAGAGTGGCTGGGGAAACAGCCAGATTGACGGGGTATAAATAATAAATTATTATTATTATTATTATTATTATTATTATTATTATTATTATTATTGCACTTAATGGGCACCCCATATTTCAGAACCTCACAGATCCATAAAACTTCCATTAAACCAGGGGTTCCCAAACTTGGGGTCTCTAGCTGTTTTTGGACTACAACTCCCATCATCCCTAGCTAGCAGGACCAGTAGTCGGGGATGATGGGAATTGTAGTCCAAAAGCAGCTGGAGACCCAAGTTTGGGAAACTCTGCATTAAACAAATAACCATAATCTGAACCACCACTTCCCCGCTCTAAATTTTGAGCTAGCAATTCGGCAGTTTGCTTTGTTGCTATCAGTCCTACAGATTTCATGGACACTTGCTTTTCCTTGTCCTTTCTCTGCTGATCCTTCTTAGCTAGGGTTGCCAACTTCTTCACAGCCCCTGCTCCTCTGCCTCTAATCTGCAGGTGTTAACATGAGCAGGCCAGACCATTTTTTCCTTCTTGTCACTTGATAACCCTAACTCAAGGCTTCGATATTTGAATGAGCGGCTTTCTCATTTATTCTATTAGCCAGAGCTGAGCAGAGACAGGGCAACAACCAGCACCTGCAGTGTTGTAGAGAGGGGTCTGATGGGCAATAGCGAACGCCCCATATGTTGTCCTGCTCTTGCTAGATTCCCGGGTGATCTGGAAACTTGGTAGCAGCAGCAAAAATATAAGCAAAAGTGGCATCCAGGATCTGTGTAATTGGAGCACAAAACAGGGATCAGGCAATAGACAAACGCAGAGCAGTCTGGAATCATGTTCAGGTCCACTTTGGGGCAAACAAAGTTGCGTAGAGACTGGTCAGCAGATTAGCTTGAAGTCAAAGCACAATGCAGGTAACAGCGATGTTGTTCCAGCAGGTTTTCCAGCCAAGCACTGAGGTTGTTGTGCTGCAGCTGCTGGAAGCGAACCCTTAATCCCAGTGATTCCTATCAGCTGGCCGCATCCAGAGGTCTCTTCCAGAGAAGGGTCTTAGTCCTGATAGGGACGCGGGTGGTGCTATGGACTAAACCACTGAGCCTCCTGGGCTTCCTGATCAAAAGGTCGGCGGTTTCGAATCCCCACAACAGGGTGAGCTCCCGTTGATCTGTCCCAGCTCCTGCCAACCTAGCAGTTCGAAAGCACACCAGTGCAAGTAGATAAATAGGTACTGCTGTGGCGGGAAGGTAAACGGCGTTTCTGTCTCGGTGTTCCATTGCACCAGAAGCGGTTTAGTCCTGCTGGCCACATGACCCGGAAAGCTGTCTGTGGACAAACGCCAGCTCCCTTGGCCTGAAAACAAAATGAGCGCCGTAACCCCATAGTTGCTTTTGCCTGGACTTAACTGCCCAGGGGTCCTGTCCTTTACCTTTACCTTTACCTTTAACCTTACTCCTGATGAGTTCTGGACAAGATGGGCCCTTGGCCTGATCCAGCAGGCCTCTTATGCTTGGTTCTTATGTGTTACCCATGTTGGCAACAGTGGTAGAGAAATGGGCAGCACAACAGGAACTGTTCCATTAAAATGCAATTTTGTACCACCAGGATCTTAGGAAGGTCTGTTCACCATGAAGCGGATCAGAAGCTCGGTGGCCTTTGCTGGTCCTGGCTGTCTCTGGGCTTTGTGAGGGTCTGGTTCTCTTAATCACCTGCTGATGAATTGGTGTGGAAGCAAATGTGCTTGATGGACGGAGGGATGCCTTCTTTTCTTTCGCAGACACAAAGCCCAGGCACTTGGGGTTAAGGAGGGTTTGGGATGCTGCATGTCCTCACCCCAGTACAAACCCACAAACTCACAGCCCAGTTTAAGAATCCACAGAACTCTGCCTTCCCTCTGAGTCAATGGACAGGCAGGAGAGCAGATAACCCCACCTTGGCTGGAGAAAAACCCAAGACCCAAAGCCGAGTGCAATTGTGGGGGCGTGCTTATGATCTCTCCTGAAAGCCATCAGCACTGGTGTGATGGCCTGGGATTCGGACTCAGAGGCTGAACCTGAGGAATCCCAGCCTGCACAGGAGTCCCCGCCTCCAGAACCAGCTGAGCCGGGGCTGGGGCATGAGCCTGAAGGGCCCTCACCTGTGCTGGATCCTCAGGTGCAGGCACCAGCTGAGTCTGCTCTGGCTCCTGAGGTGATGGAGGACCCATTGCCTGCAGGTGCTCCACTCTCAGCCCCGTCAGGGGAAGCTGAGGTTGCCTCTGGGTCCAGTAAACCCTCCAGCCTCTCCTGAGCTGCAGAGGCTCAGGGCAGAGAGGCGGAGGGAACTAAGTTCCTGCAGGAGGAGTGTTTGCCTCCAGGCCAGAAGAGGCGAGTCACCTGTGGACCGGGGCCGCCCTATGCCTCAGGGCAGATAAAAGCCAGCCAGCCCAGTCCCAGGTTGCGGGAGCAACATTGTTGGTAGCACCCTCTCTGCCTGCACCCTGTCCTGCTCTTCTGCCAGAGTTCCTGACCTCACCCGACTCCCTGCCTTGGACCCTGCTTCAGCTTGGATGGACTGCCTCCCTACTGCACCCTTGGACTGGACTTGGACCTTGCCTCATGGTTAACCCTCGGGACCAGAACAACTGGGCTTTCGAGAGCCCCGTGTACTACGATTTTAAACCCAAAGGCCAGTTTTGTTTTGAGGCTACGGCTTCCGGAGGCACATGGGAGCAGCTGCGAGAGGCTGGAGCAGGCGGTGACATGCTGGGTGCAGGAAATAATCTGGCACTGGCGTGGCTTCTGGGTGTGCGTGTGTTTGGGGGCGGGCGGGAGAAGAGTGGCTTGTCCTCCCCTTGGCACCTCCCAACCCCAACACAGATACCAAGGAAGCTGTTGAATTATTAAGCAGGCCCTGTCCTAGGCATCTGAGTCTGACTTCTTCGCTGCTGTAGCCTGTATAAGAGGAACACATCCCCAGCCAGCACCAGCCAGGGAAACAGCTCGCTCTGTTCAGCGCAGCCATAAACTCCCAACTTTGGAGCAGAGTGTCGGAGGACAGAAGCATTTGGAGCCAGGGATCAGCGTTTGATTCTGGGTGCCGGATTTGAAGGAAGGAGGCAGCTCATCCTCTCATTTCTTTCTGCCACACTCCTCCTTTTCTTTCTCCTCCCCCATCCCCAATTTCCCTCATTTCTGATTCCATCTTATTTTCTTGCCGTTTCTGTCCCATTTCTCCTTTGGGGTCTTCTTTCCCTCTGTGTCTCCTTCTGTTCCCAACCTTTCTCTTCCCCCTCTCCTTCTGACACCACCCACCTCCGTTCTGTCCACCCTCTCCTTCCCTCTTCTCTCTTTGGCAACCCCTCCTCGTTCTCCAGCCCCAGAAAAAGTCCTTCCGAAGACCCCCTCCAAATACAACAGGCGAGAGGAGGGCTGCTCAGAGGGGGCACCTGTAGGATGCCCATCCAGATATTTTGCACCATCTCCTTCTCTTCGAACAAAGAGAAGCACACCGCGGTCAAGTGTGCGACGGAGAGCAATGGTGACAAACCCCCCTACGAACAGCAAGAGCCAGAAGCCATGGAGCAAGCCTATGAGGGTGGAGAGGAACCGGAGGAGGAGGAGGAGGAGAAGGAGAAGGATGAAGACGAAGAAGGAAGCGCTCCAAACCTGGTGGACTTTGCCAACAGCTGCACTTTGCACGGCGTCAACCATATCTTCGTAGAAGGCAGCTTTGGCGTGCGCCAGGCCCTCTGGATGTGCGCGTTCCTGATCTCCCTCTCCATCTTCTTGTCCCAGGTAGCTGGGCGGATTTTCTACTACCTGGAATATCATCACGTGACGCAGCTGGACGAAATGGAGAGCGCCGAGATGGTCTTCCCCGCCATCACGCTCTGCAACATCAACCGCATCCGGGGCTCCCAGCTCACCTTCGACGACCTGTCCTATATCTCTCCGCTCGTGGGCTACGACCCCGGCGCCTACCTGGAAGCGGGCTTCCCGTTGGCCTTGCCTGACCTCGAGAGCCCCGAGGAGCCTCTCAACCTGTACAGCTTTTACGACCGCCATGGCCACGAACTTGAGGACATGATGCTGGCCTGTAAATACCGTGGTAAGGACTGCGGTCCCAGTGACTTCACCATGGTGAGTGGCTTGTGCATCAGCCCCTAGTGCCTGTGGGGCTGGTTTGGGGGTGGGTGGGCTTGATTAAGGTGCTGAGTTGGAGTAAGGGGGGGAACTACTTATGGCTGAGGTCTGTGGGCTTGCTTACAGTCAAATTTGTAATGCCTTTATTAGAATCAAAGTAGTTTTTGAGCTCCCCGGATCTATTCTACAGACTGGATATTAACTGAAAGCAATAGCAGGGGTGTGGTTGTCGTGCTGGGGAAGCCCCCGTAGTCTGCAGGTTGTAACAGTGTTTTAAGATTGAGCGCAGGCTGAGCAGTGCAACCCTAAATATGTTTAACCTGGAGGAAGCCCCACACAAGTTAAAGGGGCTTACTCCTAATTCAGGGTTGCTTAAGGCTGCAGACTTCATTGGGTTAGCCTTGTGCTAAATTGTAAACAGAAGGGCTACTCTGGGACAAAGAAACAACAACAGCTCCATTATTATTATTATTATTATTTTGAAAATGCTTTGGAGTTCTGGAGCCATCTCTGGGACTGGTCGGAACACACAGGTTCCTTTTGAGTTAGGGAGCTGGAATGAAGAGGAAATGGGCTAGCCCTAATATTAGCAAAGGTGGAGATTAGGGAGGTATGGACTGGTTGGACGCAGAGGAATGGTGGAAGGAACCAGCTGGGTGACCTCCGAGGGAATGAGGTTCAGAGTCTGCAGATTGGTGGTGGGATGGCAATGAGTGGCCAGAGGGAGAAAAGGGAGAAGACTGAGAGAAGGAGGTGTCGGAAGCGGAAGAGGTAACAGGGCTTAGTGAGCTGGGAGGGTCTGTGGCAGTGAGAAGTCCAGAATCAGAGGCAGAAGCTGAAGCAGATGGAGAGGGAGGCCAAGAGTCAAAGATGAGCCATGTGGGTGAAGAGTCACAGGCATCTTCCCCTCCTGCCACAGCAAGCTCCCCTTCCCTCCTGACTCCCAGTACCAGAAGAGGCATGAAAAGGGCGGAGGGGAGGTTGGCTGCATGCAGGTGCAGCCTCTGATTGCTTAGGGGAAGCGCTGGAGAGGAAGGGACTTAGACAGCTGTGAGACGGTGGGGACTTTCAGTCTTGGCAACTGATGTCCATGAAGGAAGACCACTGGGAATGAGCCAAGTCTGTGGAGGAAGAGTTAACTCCATCTTTGAACCATGTGGTTACTGACTGGCACAACCCTGTGCCAGTCAGTGGAGACTCATCCATTAGGATGAATGGAGCACAGCTTTACCAACCTCAGTCTGCCCTCAACTAGTCCCCAACTGCCTGCTTCCTTGTTTGCAACCAGGCAGGGGGTGGTTCCATCTGTCATTGGCTCTGGCCTCACCTACTGTTGGTCTCCCTGCCTTCTGTCCCAATGGGCAGCAGCCACCATTGGGCAGGGCCATTAGAAGCCAGATTGGGCAGTCTTGCAAGTGGTCAAGGACATCTAAGTACCTGGCCAGAGGTACTCTTCAGCTGAGAGTTTCCTAAACTGCAAGTTGTTCTTGTTGTCTCGCAAAGAGAGAAGGTTGGGATGACAGACTATAGCAGTATTTCCCAATTTTGGGTCTCCAGCTGTTTTGGACTACAATTCCCATGATCCCCGGCCACTGGTCCTGCTAGCTAGGAATGTTGGGAGTTGTAGTCCAAAAACAGCTGGTTTGGGAAGTTTGGGAAACACTGGGCTATAGCCTCAGTGTCTCTGTTAGGAGCAGGAATAGCTAGCATTCAGATAACTGGCCGCCACGCCATGCCTGTCTGCTCAGAAGTGAGACCTATTGAGTTCAGTGGGACTTACTCCTAGGTCGGGGTGTGTGCAGGATTGCATCCTAATGCTCCGAGTTTCCTGGATTCAGCTAAAGGTTCACCAAGGCTTCCACTTGTCCCACCTCTTTCCCCAGGAAAAACTTCTCTTTAGTGCTGATTCAGAGCAAACATCAGTTAGGTTTTCCACAAATTGATGTTTGCTCCGATTCAGCTCTAAAGAGCAGGTTTCCCTAGAAAGCATGGAAGAAGCAGAAAGCCTCCCAGGTCTGTACTTTCTAGGCATGGGATAAACGCGGACAAGCCCTAACTGGCCTCTCCAGCAGAAGCCTGTACAAGAACTTTCACTAGCTTTTCCCTCTTCTCCTCCCCTCGCTTGCCCCCCACCCAATTGGTTCCGGCAGGGGAGAGAATCTCCAGAACAGCACATTGGGGGGGGGGGAGAGAGAAGAGGACAGACCGTTCCATCAGGCGAGCAAAAATGCTTGTGCTGACAGAGCAATCTGCTTAGCGCTGCTTCGAATTCCCCTCTATATTTTATACCAGCAGCTAAAGCCAGCCTCCAGCAATTAGGGGATAGATATAGATATATAAGCACACAAACACGCATGGTCATAATATTTAGTGGCCAGGCACGGCCCAAGACAGTATTTGTGCTGGAGGGGGGCGGAATCCAAATGATCCCCTGCTCGTAAAAAATATTATAATAGTAAGTAAATAATTGATGCGCCGCTTTGAATGCTACCTTAAAATCTGCTGAATAAAAGGGACTGATTTCTCCTGCTGAACTGTAAGCAGTGGCATAGCGTGGGGGACAGGGGGGGCCATGGCCCTGGGTGCAAATTTCAGGGGGGCACAACCAGACCCCCCCCCCACAACAGGTTTCCTCATCGAGGCTGGAGCTACAGGGAGCCAAGCCACGCCTGGTCTGGACCTTTGGGGTTGGGGGGCAACTTCTTCTCCTCACGACTGGTACACCCCTGAGAAAGGAGGGAGGAAGAGGAAGGCAGGAAAGCACTGTTGGAGCTACATGCGTTGCTCATAGCACCTCTCTGCAAGGAGAGGAGGATGAGGCGACTCAGCAGCGTTCCTCGCTTTGCGTTTATGTCTTATTTCTGCTCCCAGAAATAAGGCTAGTTTGCAAGGAGAAGCTCCCTTGATTAGACGCTGGCTGGTGAAGTTACTGCTCAGTCCACCAGGGGGCGCAACACTTGCCCTGGCCTGGGTGCTCGCAACCCACGCTATGCCCCTGGTTGTTAGAGTGTCTTAACATCCGAAGTCTGCAGCCAACACTCTCCTTCCTAACCCTCATTCGGTTATGTGAGGCCCTCTCTAGTGAAACTCACAAGGGATTGCCGCCTTCTCCCTAGGCAGTTTGTCATTCCTTCACACACGGTCTTGATCCGACACGGAAAGCATAAGCCAATGAATCTGTGCGATTGATCCATTCATTTATTCTCCACAAAAGAGTTCAAAAAGCAAGCTACCTGGTGCCATCACTTGTAAAATATGACTCAGCCCCTTCAAATACAATAGGCATGAAACATCTGTGTCCATCTTCTGATTCCAGTTTAGGCATAACGTGTTGGGGGAGGATTTTACTTATAATCAATTATTTGTGTTGCCTTGTAAAGGGAAACCCACAATCTTTATTGAACAGGAGGAGTCTCATACCATCAACCAGTGCTGGAGAAAATGTAATATGGTACAGTGGATGCTCGGGTTGCGAACGTGATCCGTGCGGGAGGCACGTTCACAACCCACAGCACCGCGTCTATGCACGCACGGGTTGCGATTCGGCGCTTCTGCGCATGCGCAAAGCGCGATTTAACGCTTCTGCGCATGCACGACCACCGAAACCCAGTAGTAAGCCATTCCGATACTTCCAGGTTTCGGTGCGTCCGTAACCCAAAAAAACGCAACCTGAAGCGTCTGTAACCCGAGGTATGACTGTAATCAGTTAAGAGCAAGAGAGTTAATAGGTTAAAGAAAGGCCAAGTTATTTCTACTGAGTTTTGCAGCTGGGAGTTTGCTGTTGAAAGTGCAGGAGGTAAGGGGTTGGGGGGGGGGGAATGGAGCAAATTCAAGAGCATTTTGCATTTATCACAACTGTTAACACACCAGAGCGATCCGAAAACAAAAAAGCTAGAAACCGTCCCTCCAAGTTCATTGGAAGCCGGATAGAGACATTAATTGCATATATGCATGGGGTTTTTTGTTACGTAAATAGCACTCCTGATGGGCAGTATCTGGGCCATGGTAGAGGGGGAGTTTAACCCGCCTGGGGCCACCGCCAGCTCTCGGTCCAGGAGCCACCCTCAGGAGCGTTGGCTTGTGATGTGTGCGATCGAGACTTCAAACCAGTTTGGGGTGATGTTTCGATTCCATCGCCCAGTCCTACTGCCAAATATGAGGGACCCGGGTGGCGCTGTGGTCTAAACCACTGAGCCTCTTGGACTTGCCGATCAGAAGGTCAGCAGTTCGAATCCCCAGGGTGGTGAGCTCCCGTTGCTCTGTCCCAGCTCCTGCCAACCTAGCAATTCAAAAGCACACCGGCATGAGTAGATAAATAGGTACCGCTGCAGCGGGAAGGTAAATGGGGTTTCCATGCACTCTGACTTCCATCATGGTGTCCCGTTGCACCAGAAGCGGTTTAGTCATGCAGGCCACATGACCCGGAAAGCTGTCTGTGGACAAACGCCAGGCTCCCTTGGCCTGAAATCGAGATGAGCACCGCAACCCCATAGTCGCCATTGACTGGACTTAACCGTCCAGGGGTCCTTTAGCTTACTCCCAAATAGTAAGACCCAAGTGGCAGCACCGCAGGGCTGTTGTGCATCAGTTGGGCAAGGAAAGGGGTGGGGAAGGGTCTCCTAGACTCCCCCTTGGGCACACTAGCTTCCTCACCAGGTTGCCAAAACCCACCCTTCTGATATGACCTGTTGTAGCAAAGCGAGGAAATGGAGGCAGCTTAATCCCTGCTCTTCAGGGAGCGATGAGATCTTACTCTTGCCTCCTTTCCCACAGCTCTGTCCTTCTGTGTTGACTGTTCCCAGCTGCTTACTGTCATTAAAGCTCCCTGTGCGCAACGGGAACAGGAATTGCAATAGCAGCCACCTCAAACATCAAACAGCCACAGAGAGGAGAGGGAGAGAAAGGAGCCCAGGTCTTTTTAAACAGCAGAGGGGGCAGCACCTTTCAAACGGAAGCAGCCACATTTGCTTGGTTGGCCTTGTCTGGAGGTGGGGGAG